GAAATATGCAAAAAATAACATTTGCAGAAACGAAGATTTACAAAAACTTTAAACGTACATTTGGCTTCATTTAGAGATGGTTCTTCAATGAAGACAAACAAAACACTGATTTATTGCAATCTACGCAAAACGACGTGGCGCGATACCGAAAATGTTTTTCAAGGGCCATATGTTCAACAAATTCCAAGGTTTGAGACAATTATGAACTTCTACGGTGGTCATTGAAAGAATAGTTGGACGTGGATTTTGTAACGGATTTCCGATAAACAGTTTATTAGGTTGCAGTCAGAATAATTGGCCGAGATGTTAAAAAAAAATAGTGCCAATATTCTGACTGCAACCCTAATAAACTGTGTTATGTTTTATATCGACAGTCAATAATATACCAGTATTTCTTATAATATATATATAAATATTATATATATATATAATATATATACATATAATATATATATATATTATAAATATATTATATATATATTACATATATATTATTATATATATATATAATATATATATATTTATATATATATATTTATATATATATATTTATATATATATATATATTTAAATATATATATATATATATATATATATATATATATATATAATGTGTTTATATATATAAAATAACAAAAAGAAAAATGTTAGAATGTATAGTAATGGTAAACAAAAGAAATAGGGATAAATAAAATACAACGACAAAACTTTATTGTGAGATGTCAAAGTGATTAATAGTGTATGTATATGAAAAGTGAAAACAGAACTATTACTTGATACCAAGAATTAATACAAGAAATATAAGATTTTATTATTATAAATTTTTGTTTATTATGTAAAATAGGTAAATATTATTGTAAATATTATGTGCACATAATAGCGGGTAAGAGTTAATTTGCAATCAATCACATAATAGGGACATAATAGGGAGAAATACATAATAGGAATCTAATAGGGACATAATAGGGGTTAATGTGTAAGGTAATATAATCTAAATGATTTTACGTAAGAGAAAAACGTAGGTAAAATATTAAGATAATATAAGGCATAATGAAGGATACCACCTAGCATATCACAAGGGAACAACCAGGGTTACCTTATAATATGCTAAGGTTAGGTTGGGTTAGGTTACTAAATTTAAAAAACAAAATTTTTTACTAAATATGAGAAAATAATATACCAAAATTTGTATAAATATGTATACGGTAGCATAGGTAACCAGTAATTATTTGAGGTTGCAAATTTCACTTTTTCCAAAGGGAAAGAGAGAGAGAGGGAGGGAGAGAGAGAGAGAGAGAGAGAGAGAGGAATGAGACAGTTGCAAAAGAGAAGTTTTTTTTCGTAAGCGGGATGGTGTAGTATTATTCGTAAAATATTATATTTCATATTTGTGTAACATAGTTTCGCATTTGTTTATATAAAATATGTTTTTAATAAATCGAATCAAGGTGTCTTGATAAAACAAACTCGGCTCAGAAATGAACAACTGCTGATATAGGCAAGGCCTGCTTTTAAAAGCGACAACAATCATAATCTTAGAGATCAGAACTAATTTAACGTCAAGATGGCAAGTGAATGTATCATGTTTTAATAATTATAAGGAAGCCTCATAACAGTATCACATAAGTACTAATTACATTTAAGATTAAGTAATTTTAAGTAAAAGTGTACAGTACTGTTTTAAATACATGGTCCCATAATTCAACAACCCGTTATTTACCATTTACGACGTTATTTACCATACCTTATAAAGCAACCTCTCTATAATAGAGAAAACCCGTAATGTAGTTGATATTTGTGGTAAAGTAATAACTAATTTTAACAATGAATAATACTTTTTAATACCTAACACCAAAAGCTTAACAAATTTGTTACAGAATGAATGAGGTAATAGGTATTATTAATGTCAAAAGGTTACTCAAAAACTGTTATGATTTTGTTATGTTATCCTTGGTGCAATCCTACTTTCAGATGAAATTTATCAGCCTCCCTAACACGTGTCCTAACACCAGTGTTTATTTTTTTTATACTGTCTCTCACAATTTTTACATATTTACCAAAATCTCTCAAGTAATTGTATCATATGTTTTCTTAGTATTAATGAATACAATGTAAACGTTTGGTCCGTCATTATTTTATTTTTTTGTCTACTGCCTTATAATGATAATTGCATCGTTTTATTTTCTTTGCATATTGCCAAACTGATTATCGGATATTTCGGTTTCTTCACATCTCCGTCTATCAATTACTCTCTCCCATATTTTTATGGTATGACTAAGTAGTTTTCTTGGCCTGTAGTTTGTATATTTTTGTACGTTGGCATTTGTCCAACTTCCATAATTCTTTTTAAAAAACCTATCGGCGAACTTGTTGCTTTCTCTTATAATGCTTTCCTTACTTCTTCAGAAGTATTACCTCGTCCAACTGCTTTACCCTTGTTTATCTTTTGAAGTGCTTGAGCTACTTTCTTATTTGTTATTTTGGTGACCATTGCTATTACTGTCCTCTCTAATTCCACTGATTTTCTATCAAATTCTAAAATTAGTAACCTTTCAAAGTACTTTTTTCAATCTTTTTCTGACTTACTTTTCGTAAATTAGCATTTAATTCGATTACAATTTTTTGCTTTCTTTGCTTTATGTTTGTCTATTTGAAATGTTTGTTTTGCTTTTCCTGTTATTAAATTGATCGTATAAGTTTGAATAAGTACTTGCTTGTGCTATTGCTACTGCTACTGCTTTTTTTTTTGGTAACCGTATAGTTAAGAAGATCTGTGTCTGACCTATTTTATTCTCACAATAATTTTTTATTATTTTTTTTATTTTTTCTGGTACTTGGTTCGACCACCAGCAAGTCTTATTCTTAAACTTCTTTTTTCATTTTTTTCTGCTTTTACTTTTCTTGCCCTGAATAGACCTTCTTTTTTATCTTTTAAAATCCACTTCTTAATCTTTTGTGGTTTTCTCTGATATTTTTGTTTTGTTGCGGTTCTTACTTCGATGTCTGGCACAAGCAACTTATGCCAGACATTTTTTTGACTAAGTGTCTCACTAAATATTGCTTTGCAGTCCTTAGATTCATAATATCTTTTTTTCTAGTCATAAAATAATCTACGTGGAAATGATTTTGTTGAGTTTTATATGTAATTATTAACATTTGTATTGTATCTGTGTAAGGCTGCACCCAGAGACACATATAAAATGTTTATATATTTATTATATCGTAAATTTGAGATGTGATGTTTTATGATATTCGTAAAATAAGGTTTATATACAATTTAAATTTGCGTTTTAAAATATTAGTTTGGTTTTGTTTGAAATGAAAGAAACATATCTGTTGTTTATGGGTTCAGCTATACCCGGAAGTGCTTCTAAATATACGTGATGTTTGTTTTGTTCTATATTTTTCTGGAAAAGTTAATTAGATTTTGTGGGTTCTATTTTCAGAAGCGCATATGTAAGTGCTGTAATAAAGGGCAATACTGACCGACAAGGGCATGGACATAAAAGGAGAAAGGCTTAGCCATCTAAGGTTTGCAGATAATATTGTAATAATAGCTGATAGGATAGATGAGGCCAAAGAACTTTTAAATCAGCTTTACCTTTCCTCGCTAGAAGGGGAATTGAAAATAAATATATCTAAAACCCATACTCTCTGAGACGATTTTGTAACATCAGCCGCTTTTTGCGATTTGATAAAAAAGAGGATAGACATATTCGACGGAGTCACGATAAGTTAGCTTCAATTAGCAGTGTTTTGATTTATTTGTAGCACCACTTCCCAAAATGTTTGTTCCATATAAAAGTCTCACTGTCGACGAACAACTTGTATCATTTAGAGGTAAGTGTCCTTTCAGACAGTATATTCCAACAGAACTACTTGGGAAATATGAAATTAAATTATGTCTTTTATCTGATGTCAAAACTGCATATATGTATTGTGCAGAAGTATATACGGCAGAAGCAGAAAATCAGCCCCGTGATGCACATCAGGGCAGAAATGTGGTTTTACGACTGATCAAAGATGTTCAGAATTCTGGAGGAAATATAACCACAGATATTTTTTACTTACTAACCTTTAGCGACTAAATAATTAAAACGTAAACTAACACTAATTGGAACATTGCAAACGAACAAAAGCTTTATTTCAGTTAAATTTTTACTAAATAAAAGTAAAGAAGCCCTATCATAAATAATTTTTGGGTTTCAGAAGAATATGACTTTAGTTTCATATAGTCCTAAAAAGGGTAAATCTGTTATTTTTTTGTCCTCGCTGCATTTAGATGACCACTCCCACTCAATGGAGCTAATTATACCCACTCCATTACTAGTGTTACTGCTCTGCAAACCATAATCTGTACCCTTTACCTAGTTTTTTTTTACCCTTTTTCCTTTTTATCTAATTTCTCGAAAGTAAGATATTTGTATTTTCCTTCATTTTAGCGCATCTACTACCTTCACACCCTTACTTGTAAGACTTTCAAGATTCCAAGACCCTATCCTATCTTTTCTAACCTGTAGTGCCATTATCCCGGAAATAGTCGTAACTCATAAATCCAAATGGGGGCTTAATTGCTTCCACAACATTTTATCTCGGCAAATGCTATTATTTTAGAATATCCCGCCACTAGGAAGCATATACTTTATTCGAACTACTTTTATTAATATTAATAAATTACTGGCATATACTGATTCTGTTAATGTCACAAAAGTACCCAATGGAACCGTTTTTTAAATTATAATTATTTTTTAATTGTGTTTAAAAGATATAAAATAAATATTTTTTTACATCTAGTATAAACTTATTGAATTGCAGTGACTAACCATTCAAAAGTAGGAATAGCAATTCCAAGGACTGCTTTAATTGCGACTTTTTTCGATGGCTCTGTACAACAAATATAATATGTTTGTAAATACATATACATCTTATTTTTTATTAGTTTCTTAGATTTATAAAATTTACATCAATTAATTTTACAAATTTATAAAATTTATTCTTACCTCAAGCTTACTTTGGGTTTGTGCTGTCATTCCATTTCGTCTGCAATTTTCTATTATATCTGAGCGGGAATTTTCAAGAAATCGATTTCGGTTTGTACTAGTTATATCTCTTATAAGTCTGTAATGGGCTGAAGAACAAAAAAGTAAAATAAATTTTATACTTCTGTAGAATTACCAGAAGGATTATCAGAACGCACCAGAAGCTTTGGTTCGTTCGGAAAATTATTCTCATGTGAATTTTTACATAATCACTTTCATGAAATACCCCAAAATATGGTTAAATACGTCGCCCGGGAAAAAGTTATTTAAACAATTTTTGTTAAACAGAACAAATTATAACAATTCATTTGTTCGGCCCAGACATTATTTTTTAAATTTTTTGAATAATTCATTACAAAATAAGTTTGCTTATAAATAATGTTTTTAACTTGGGTTTTTAAGCCTTGAAAATCGTTATTTTGCGGTTGTTTTCAGTTTTAAATAATTTAAAACTCAAAAACGATCAAGTGTACAAAAAACTACAACAGACTTATTTTGTTCAAAATGATCCGAAAAATAAAAAAAAAAGTTTGTCCAGTCTGAAACAAATGATAGTTGTAATTTAAAAAAAAATTGGTTTTTTTTCTTGGGCGATCTGTTTAATCTTGTTATGCGGTATTTTATAAGAATCATTATGCAAAAAAACTCATGGGAATATTTTTTCGACCGAACCTGTGCTTTTCGTCTTGTTTAATAGTACGTATATAAATATGTTCGGGAAAATTAAAAAGTGTATTTATTTAGTATTACCTATACAAATAATATTTTAACGGTAAACAATTAAGCTACGTTTGAATTAAATATAAAGTTTATAAAAATCACTTACCACTTCTTTTCTCCAATGCATATTCTGCATTAACTGAGAGTGCTAAAACAAAAGAAAAACAATAATATTGCATATATGATATTGCATTTATGCTGTATAAAAGATGTGAATAATAAGTAAAATTTTTTATTTAACCGTTTTTTAGTCACATAGGCTAACTGTGGCCCCACGGATCGAGGCACGCCCAATTCAACAGCAGTAGTCAAACAGTGCAGACGTGTGCTTAAGTAGGAGTGAGCAGACAAGGCTTACAGTCGGACAATTTTCAATTAAAGGTGACTAATCTACAAATTGAAATAAACGGTGTAGCGGGAACCGTGTATATTGTCAGTAGTAAATTCTTACAGGGGCTAATTTTATTGTGCATGCTTCACTCATGTAAATAAGCAAAAAAGTAAAATAGTCTCATAATAATTTCCCCCGTAACAATATAAATTGGTGCGATTCACGAGTGTATAGTAGACAAGTGTATTGAGTAGTTTGAAACATCCGCAAACTTATCAATGTTTTGCTTGTCTATATATGTACCTCAGAATAAAAGTGTATTAAGTCCAATTTTAAGAAAAACGGGATTATTAATGAAATTTACTTAAAATTAAGTCCTCTTTCATATGGTACTAAGATCTAACCCCAATCTCGAATAATAACAGAGATAGCTAATTTTAAACGATATTAAGTCCATGTGTCTTCTGAGAGAAAAGAATATCAAATTTAATAGTACAGTCTTTAGTTTGGTATTTTTAGTGTAATGACAATATTAAGTCCAAGTTTATTTTTAAATTGAAATTAAGTCCATACTTTCCCCTTACATTATTGCGCAACACTGTGTGAAGTCCCTAAGTTCCAACAAGCGGCCAAGGGAAAAACGGTTAGAACTATTTCTGTCCAACTCTTTGCATATGTTAACCGACGATTTCTGACTAATAGTTTGAGTTTTGACTGTTTGTAGAAACAGACGTTAGTTCAAATAGTAAAGTTTTCAGAGTAGTTTTTAAGTTGATTTCAGTATATTTTCATTTTAAAAATGAATAGCAGATCACAGAGAATTCTTTCATTAGTGAATAAAAATGAATATAAAAATTTCTGAGCAAGAAAGGAAAAAACATAAATGCTGCTTTTTGAGATGCATATAAAGACATAAACCATAAACGTCAGTTTATATCCTTGCATATCCAATTGGTACAAACGTTTAGAAACAGATGTAGAACTGGTGCAAGAAAGAATTCTAGAGCTCACACAGGACAGTATTATTTTGACAAAGATAATTCCATGGTACATGTGTGCAAAATATTTTTTGTTAACACTCTGCATATTTCACAAACTTTTGTGACCATATCTTTGGAGAAAAAACAAGCAGGGGGTATAATTGCTATGAATAAAAGGGGAAAGCATGAAGACCATGTTAATGTACCTGAAGTTGTAAAACAAGAATTTCGTGATCATATAAAATTCTTACCTTACTATTGCAAAAATGTATAGATTTCATAAAGCACAGTGTGAAGAAAGAAATACACATGAAAATCTAATTGTCAAGGAATGGTTTTATAGTTACATTTTTAACACATACTTTAATTACTCCTTTAAGTCTCCAGATAATAATACTTGCGATCAATGTGACTCATTTTTAGTAAAGCTACGTGAAGAACTGAATGATGTTGAAAAGGAATATCTACAAGCCAAATATAATCAACATCTGAAAGAAGGAACAAGAAGATACTTTTTAAAGAAAGAAGATTAAATATGCACAAAACAACAAAATTCTACAACAATTATCATATGCGTCGATTTACAAAAATGCCTTCCAACACCAGTGTTAACCAACGTGCAAAGCTTTTAGTCTTTAAAAATTTGGACGTATAATTACACATTTTATGTTGCCACTAATAATGCTACTACTTGTTTGATGTGGGACGAGTCCAAATCAGGAGGCGGTGCAAATGAAATGGCATCATTATCACATGTTAAACCTTACCAAAAAAAATTATTGTATGGTCTGATAACTGTCCATCTCAAAATCAAAACATTCGAACAATCGAACATACACATTGTTATAGTTATAGCTTATTTTTATATATTAAAAAAAATTCCAACGTTGAAAACCATTACACATAAATTCTTATTGCGTGGTCATACTCACTTAGAAGTTGATGCTTGCCATTCATTAATAGAATGCGAAAAAAAAAGAAGAGTGCTAATTTTCAAATCATGTCTCCCTGGAACTGGCAACAATTAGCTAGAATGTGTAGCATAACTAATCCGTACGAGGTGATTAATATCGAGACAAGCGATTTCAAAGATTATAAGCAATTATATACGTCTCCATTTTTGTCCAGAAAAAAAATGTGGATGGCATTTATGGCATGGATGTCTCACTGTACTATAACACTAATTTTCAAGAAAAGAAATTTTAGGCAGTCAATTTAATTCGTATTATTACAGTCGTACTACGGCAGTGATATTTCCTGAGAAAATACAAACTTTAAGGGATGATGATAATCCAATCTCCGAAAACAATACAAACATCTTTAGACATTATTGAAACGGGTTCCAAGGCATTTCCAAGATTTTTATGTCAACAATCTCCGAAAACAATACAAACATCTTTAGACATTATTAAAACGGGTTCCAAGGCATTTCCAAGATTTTTATGTCAACCTAAAGCATAGCAGCATACATGAGGATGATGATAACCATACCGAAAAATTTGTGTTCATTTTGTAACTTACTAATAACTACAATATCTGTTTCATATTTTCTATAAAAGCTTTTTTGTCAATACAAATTGTTATTTTATTTTGTGTTGTGTTCAAATAATAACGATAACTTTTTTGGACTTGACTTTGGAATTGTAACATAACATTTATGCTTATAATTTTAAGTCCTTAAAATTAACTTGGTATTAATACAAAATTGTATTATGTCCAAAACCAAAAAATTATGAATTTTTGACAAAAAAACTATTTGAATTTCGTGTTTTAATTACTTGAAATTCAGTAGTTGATAGATCATAGATTCCAAAAAAAATGGTGTCACATAGGAAGAAAAGTACTAGGGCTTAACTTAAAAACTGCACATTGATAAATTTCAAACCGCTCTCCTGAACAATCAATATTTTGGACATAGTACATTTTTATTCTGGGGTACAGATATATATTTACGTTCTTAGAAAAAATGATAATAAGTGAAATTTGATATTTTAGTTTATTCGTTCCAAATTCTTATGTGCATGGGCGTATTATATTCTATTTCTTGGGAATATATTTATTAAATAGACTGTATTATTAACTTTAAAATAGTTTTGAGGTAAGTAAAGTAAATTTGCGGCAAGTTTATTCTTTATATAGTATTAACCCATTAACGGCCGGTAAATATACAGAATATGCAGAATAAAAATATACATAATTTTACCAAATAATTTATTAGATTGGATTATAACACATAAATTAAAACTAATTTACGACCAACAAGAATATTTTCTTCTCATTTTCAAGGATACAGTACAATTTTTTATAAACATATTGTATCTTAAATGTAAATTAAATTTTAAGGTGAAAATTTTCGAAACATTCGGGGTGAAGATGCATTCTAAACATAAAGAAACAGTATTACTTTCGCACATCCTACATTCTTGCACTATCGTTTTTTTTTTGTAATTTGGCCAATATTGTCTAATCTGACTTCATCTGGTAAAGCAAATTTAGATTGACGTACATGTACTAAGTTGGACACTGATGTAGCAATTCTTTACTATTATAAATGATTAATATAAATCTATGTCGGCTCATGCTTTCTCTTATAATGTGTACTTCTATATCATCATCCTTTGACCAATGCATATCAATTTAAAGCAGAGTGTGAATCAGATAATAAACATACGCTAATAATTTTTTTTCAAATCTATGTTACACAGATGTCTTCACAGATATTGCTTCTTGATGTACTTGGAAGACTAAGTGGTCGACCTTTGCTTATTCTTACGCCATGACCACGTTTTAGATAAGAAGTAGCTATTTGTCGCCTTTAGTCTTTGATGGATATATTTATTTCTCTTATGTATCATATTATACAGTACGCACCCATTTACTATAGCCGTATCTATCATTCGTGTAAAAAGACACCAATACCATTTTTTTCCTCTGACAGATATATGGTGTTTTTCCAATAGCCAGTCATGGTGATCCACGCCACCCATATATTTGTTATAATTGGAATAAGCGGATGGTTGGCTCATTTGTACTTTATTTTTTTTCTTATCCATCGTTGAACCTCATTGGTGGGAAAAACCGTCTCATAGTTAGTTCCAACAGAAACACAATTACTGTCATTCCATTTGCATATTAGTATTTTGTTGTTTTTGTCAAAGCACCAGTCATACGCGCCTCGAGGTTCTTTTTGTAGGTCGTTTGATTGTTTAGTAGGACACTTTCCAGTTCGGTTTTCTCTAATAGTTCCCGTAGCGCGATACCACTTTTCTTTTAATTGGCAAAGGAGACTGTAACTTGTAAAAAAGTTATCAAAATATACAATATGTCTCTGTGGGTTTCCTACGATACTCAGCATGTTAGAAACAACTCTTGTATCTAAAGGCTCAGTTGATTCCTCTTTCGAAGCTTTTCCACAATAAAGAGCAAAATTGTAACAATGACCATTATCGACACACAGTGCCCACAGTTTAAAACCAAATCGAATTGGTTTGGCCCCAATGAATTGTTTTAGTGAATTATGGCCGTAATACTTCACTATTATTTCATCTACTGATAGATGTTGGTGAAACACTCCCCATTGTTGGAACCGCGCATTTAGAAGATTTAGCAAAGGTCTAATTTTGAATAACTTATCATGTTTGCTATTGTCAGCTTCGGAATTATTTGCAAAATGGATTAGATGCTTTATTTCTAAATATGCATTACGACTTAATGCATTTTTTACAAGCGGTATTCCCAAATCTTCTTGTTCAGACCAGTAGTCCCTCTCGCTGGGTAATTGGTGGTATCCAGTAAAAATTAGAAATCCAATAAAAATTTTAATTTCTTGAGCTGTTA